ATAAACGTACAACGAGGGGCAATAAAATTCGCGCTCTTTCTACAAAGACCGCCACGAAATTACGGATTTTAATACAGCCACAGTCGCGGACACGTACCACGGCCAATTAGAAAATTAATTTACGTAATTGGTACATCAAATTTAATTAAATTCCATTAATTACAACATACTGATTAATCGAATAACGCAAGCGGGGGAGGGAAGGGGGGGGGCGGAGGAAGGGGCACGGCGCTTTCGGAATCGGTCTCGTTTCCCAACTGTGTTTATCAGCTCGCGGAAAGATGGAAAAATAAAAGCGTGTCTCGCGAAAAAACGAGACAAAGAAACAGCGTTAATGGCTCTGCCTATCTATTGTCCACCCTTTTCTTCCTCTTCTCTTCTTTTCCCTTCCTTCTTTTCTCTTTTCTTTTTTTTTTTTTTTTTTTTTTTTCCCCTTTCCAATCTCGACGAAAACAGGACGCGGCGAGAAATATTCGCTGATCGTTAAAATAAAAATAGCCTCGATTCGGCAGAAATTGAAATTGAACACGCACCGATGCGCCAATCGCGACGAGAACATTACGCGCGGCGTCATCGCGCTCCAAATTCCTTTAGAAACGAGATCGAGTTGGCGCGACGAAGAGAATCGCAATTTTCGCTTCGTTTTAATTAATCAAACAAGAGAAAAAAGAAGAAGAAGAAAAAAAAAGAAAAAAAAAAAAAACAAAACAAAAAAAAAAAAACTCCAGCTCTCGTTTGACACGGATACGATTTCGAACGTAACGACAGTAAAGAGAATGACACGGCCGATTTCGATCTTTTGCGACCACCGGTGTTCGCAAATACGCACGCCAGCAGGCATACGCTCGCCACGCTCCCCCCCGGGGGACCAACGAACAATTTACAAATAGCGTTGCGTTTCGCTACGCAACCGACGCTCGTATCGCGTGCATCCATCGTCATGTGACAATTAGACTGATTGCGAGAGACGGAAACCGTGCGAATACTAATTTCGTAACAAGGCCAGCATCCGCCTGCAAAGTTTCTGAAGAGCGCGTGTCAAGATGTATAATATACACACACACACGAGAACGAGACTCTCCTAGTTTGGAGATCATTTCTTTACTCGACGTAATATCTCGAGTTTTTTAGGGAACGTTACGATCTAAAATGGCGCTGTTCGCTTGGAGAGAAATACTCGTTCGAGGGTGGCGACGAACGAAACGTGTTTACACGTTTTTCGAGTAAATTGTTTCGAGAAACAAAGCGTCGATCGAGAATAATTCTCGTTCGCGTCCCCCGAACTGTAAAAATTCTCTCCAAGATCTCGAAAAAGAAACGCGCGTTAAAAAATTTGGAATTGCACGTGCGTGGGCAGGATTATTGTCTCAGAACGTTTCGTTCGAAATATCTCGATTCTCGAGAAGAAATTTACGCTTCGGAGTTCTCGGAATCTTTGAATGGGCGGGGATTAAAAAACAGGGGAGAGGAAGCTTGCCAAACAAGTGCAAGTACACGGGAAAAATGTCGCAATGCGGATGCGACGCGTCTAGGACGCGTATACACACAGATGCAGCCGAGAGGCCGCACGTATAAATCGAGAGAACGCACCCGTGGCGAAAGAAGAGTTTCAAGATCTCTCTGCGCGAGATTCGCGCGCGAGTGCGTCGCAATTATGCAAAGCGGCACGCTCGCGAGAATTGGCCAACCTCTGAAATTTAAACAACAGAGACGACAGAGAGAGAGAGAGAGAGAGAGAGAGAGAGAGAGAGGGAGAAAGAGTCGATAATTAAAAGACGAACTAACTGAGAGATTTCGCGCGAGCCGAGAAAGCTTGGAAATGTACACACACATACGTATATATATATATATATATATATACACACGGTCGCAACGCGTTTGTTGCGCGTGTCGAGGAGCATTAATTAACGTCACGATCAGTGCATCACATTTGACATGATTGCGAGCACCGTTTATCCTCCTCGCGAGTTATCTGTCTCCTTCACGCTGGTTCACGACCCGCCACCCATCACGAATGTGCGCGCCGCTAATGGAATGGAACGCGGGAAAAACTAGAAAAATAGAGGAATAGATTTATCGCCGATGCCAAGGGAAAATCGAATTATCCCTGAAATAATTATCGCAAAATCAATCGATTCCTCCTATTCCTGAACGATATAATCCGTTGTTCATGCTTTCGATGTATCGTTCATTGGCGAAAAGAAGTCTCTCGGAATGGAGCGAGACGTTTCGTTGGCAACCTCACACTATGTTATAGCGATAAAAGACGATCACGCGTGAAAATAAGCGAGACTTTTTCTCACAATACGCAGCATCTTTAAAAATTCTAAAATATTATAATTCTTTAAAAGAATGTAAAGTATCCTTTACATCTCACGATTGTTACACAATCGTTGCTATATAATTTCTTCCCACCCTTTTTCTATAAACCTCTAAAGATCCGTGTATAAAAGTAGAATTTGGAGCGAAGGATATTTGTCTCTCGTAGTATTTACAAACCTCTCTCTCTCTCCTCCTCCCTCTTTACCAACTCTACGTAAAAAAAAAAAAAAAAATTCAACAACAATGCGCGGAGAAAGGAGCGAGGAGTGAATTGGAGCAGCAGGTTTTTCACAATCCTTGGTGACAAAGATACGACGTGGAATGAAAGACGCGTCTGGGCGAGGGGACAAAAGGACGATATCCCCGCGCGCGCGCGCGCGCGAGAAAGAGAGAGAGAGAACGTGAAAGACCGGTGGCAAAAAGGGAAACGACGCAACGTCGGACCACACGAGGAGGAGAATTTATAGCGTTTGCAGATATAGCCGCAATACGCGTGCAGTACGGTTACAATGCCGCGATGGCGAGGCAAGCGAGCACTCGTGCCGATCACGTGTCCGGCTTGTACCGCAATCGGGCTCATTGTCCGCGGACAAGAGTGGGTACAAAGCGCGAGAGAGGCCGAGCGAGTAGCCCGGCCAACGTCATTGCGGTTCGATGCAACTAGACAATCTAGTGTAAATAGGGGAGGGGGGAGTGTGCCTCCCGTGTACGGGTGTTACGTGCGCCGATCTCGCGCTTCGGATCCTGGAAATCATGGGGGCGGATTCGATGATACCGAAATTGAAATTGTCGGGCTAATGCGATTACCGAGCCGTTGCGTGAGGGAGGCCGGCTAATAGCCGATGTGACAGACGCGATTGACTGTTTGCCTTTTAAGCCGATTGCTCGAAAACGATTCCTCCGTGAACTTGCCGATACCCGAGTTGCCGAGGGATGCAATCTCTTTAGATTTCGGCCCAACGTGTCCAGGGGTGTTTTCTTTTCTCTCCAGGTGGATTATCGAAACGTATAGTAATACTGACGGTATTAAAAAGATATGAATGAAGAAATAAGAATTGCGAGTAATTTTTTGAGGCTAGGCCGAAATAATAAATTAATAGAATAATAGTTAATAGAGATTAGAATAATAGAATTAGAATAATTAGAATAATAATTAGAATAATAGATTTGGGCCCAACGTGTCTAGGGATGTTTTCTTTTCTCTCCAGAAGGACTATGGAAACGTATAGTAATCTTAATTTAGTATTAAGTGTCTAGGAATATTTTCTTTTCTCTCCAGATAGATTATCGAATATATAATCTTGATTTAGTATTAAAAGAATATGAATGAAGAAATAAGAATTGCGAGTAATTTTTTGAACCTAGATTGAAATAATAAATGTTAATAGAATAATAAATTTGGGCCCAACGTGTCTAGGGATGTTTTCTTTTCTCTCCAAAAGGACTATCGAAACGTATAGTAATCTTGATTTAGTATTAAAAGGATATGAACGAAGAAATAAGAGCTGCGAGTAATTTTTTGAGGCTAGGTCGAAATAATAAACGTTAATAGAATAATAGATTTGGGCCCAACGCGTCTAGGGATATTTTTTTTCTCTCCAGAAGGATTATCGAAACGTATAGTAATCTTCACGGTATTAAAAGGATATGAACGAAGAAATAAAAATTGCGAGTTAATTGAACGATTGTCAAATAACTAAAGAAGCTACGAGTCATTTTTAAGAAGGGAGATTTTTGAGATCAGACTAAATAAGACTAGAATTTTGTTTAACTGGCGAAAAAACGGGGCGCTATAAGTTAATTTTTGAGAGCAAATATAATTCGCCAACGTCGAAACCAGCCACGATTGCAATTTTTCAGGCCAGGCCAAAGAGAATCCCTTTGATAGGTTTATGCATAGATCGTTGGCTCGCCTCGGGTACAAGTTTCCGCGTTACTTAAATTTTCGCGGTCCTTGCCGTTGATTAAGCTCGAGGCACGGGGAGAATAACGCCTCCTTTGAAACGGTTTCGACGGTCAAAGCCTAAAGAGAAAGAGGACGTCTCGGTTACTTCGTCACGTTCGTAACTTTCTTGTTAGAAGCAAGTTTGGAAATACTGTCGTCGAGTGTCTTCAACGTTCAACCCACATTCTTCGATCGAGAAAACTTGGCGAGTTTTGCCGCCAAAGATATCGGTCTCCTATCTAAAAATCTCCGCTTCGTACACGACAAATATTCCTAAACGCTTGTCTACACACACACACATTCGTTCCGTTTTGCTAGACGGATAACAACCGATGGGATAATAAACGAAATAATAAACGTTAATAAAATAATAGATTTGGAATAAAATAATAGAATGTATCTAGGGATGTTTTCTTTTCTCTTCAGATGGATATTCGTGGGATAGGATGGAATTGAAACGATTCAAAAAAACGATGATTTCGATCGATTAGATCCAAGTACGTGAACCATTAAATTATTGAAATTTATTGAAATTATATGAAAAATAAATATAACGAGTACTCGTTCCATCCCACAAATATCCCGCCGCTTTTGAAGAAAGAATGAAAAGAAATTTCCCGTTCGCAGGAAATTCTTCGTCAACTTCTTCAACTGCGTAGAACCTTGTGTAAACTAATAATAAAATCCCTTCTTTTATTCATTCGCCTCTCGGTTTTTTTTGTTTTCATTGCAGTATAACATAAAGAAGCGGGAAGAGGTGCAAGAGATGACTCAAGAGGAGCCCAATCCTTTGATGCGCAAGAAAAAGACGCCAGAGGAATTGGCCGCGGAAGCCGAGGCGGAAGAAGAGGACGAGATTACAAGTACGTGTCGATTCGCGAAAATAATAAAATAATTCGAGAAAAATACACAGCCGATCGTTTCGCGAATGGGAAGAGAGAAACGAGGGGGTTGAAACAAATTTTTGCGATATTAAGGGCGGTGATTACGCCGACACATACGATTAACACGAATTAAATTGGCGCACAAGGGGATGATCGATGAAGGGTTAACGAGCGTTGGTTAGAAATTAAACAACGCCGTCCCAGCTCTGCTGGGCTAAATTGGGCCGAACAATCCCGCTCGATTCTCATGGTGAAATCGGCGTTGCGTAATTGAAAGAGTTTGAAAAAAAAAACTGCAAGCCAACTTCCGGCCGTTCATTTGCGATTCCCCATTGTTTCGTAAACTAAACTGGAACACGTATGCACGTGCATACGCGCATACGCGCCTACGCGCGATCGAATAAAATGTATACAAGGGTGTTGGATAATATATACATTCGTGGACACGCTTTTGGATTTTCGAGATTCTAGAAAACAAGAAAAATATCTCTCGTCACGTTACAAGTTACAATTTAAATTCACGTCAAATTTCGAAGTCAAAGGTATATACCGATTTTTCATTTATTCGCTCTTTGAAATTATATCTCCACCTTCGAATAAAATATCTTGAAAACCTGCCTCTAATTTAATTAGAATCGATCCAAATCCAAAAGTGGTGTCCCCTAAATATATATATATATATATATCAACAACTTTATTGCAAAAATCTAGATTAATGTAATACACGTATTGTGTCTGTTCGTTTTCAGAGATCAAGAACGCGTTAGACACGCATATACAAGAGATCAAAGCGCAAGTACTTGATGGTAAATGCGACCTCCAATAAGCCTACCTAACACTCCTCGAAGCGGTCGGTAAGGAGGGCGGTGCATCATGCGCCGCCAGGGCCGCATCCGCCTCTCAGCCCCTACGACACCACGAAAGAAGAAGAGAAGAACGAGCAAGATCTGACGCGTTATCGGAGAAGCGAAAGGAAAGAACGATACGAAAGGAGGAAAAGTTCAGCGTCGTCGTCGTCGTCGTCGTCGTCGTAGTCTTCGGTTGGGTCTTCGTCGTCGTGTTGTTGTTCGTTCGAGAATCGATTCGAGATACTCACCGCGTGTCCACGGATGGCGACCAGACACGCACACCCTCCCTCCTCCGCACCTTCGTCCTCCGCCGTTCTCGATCGATCGAACGGCCGATCGATCTCATCAAGGAGCGCGATCGAAACCGAGCTGAAAAATTTTTGACGATTTTGGACGGGTCGATTTTGGACGGGAGAAATTTCGGGAGGGGGGTGATGATCGCGTTTTGAGTGTCGTCCGTTGCGATCCGTTTGTCGATCCGATCGAAACGAATTCGAGAGATCGTTACGTGGATATGGCCACGGAGTGATCTTGGGAATGGAGGAATATCTGGAGAATCTTTGGAGGAGCGGGACGAGGTCTCTGAGATCTCGACGTCGAAACAACGAACATCGAGTTGTCGAGGAAAAGGGATGATCGAAAGTGACGATGAACCGTTTCCATGGTCCGATCGAGTGAAGAACGTGCGTATATAGAAAATATATGATAGGGAAAAATAAAAAATTAGGGGACGATGACGGGATAAAAAAGCGAGGACATTGCGGCAGACACGAGAAAGTGTAAAGAGAATAGTAGTGAGAGTTCGTTAATATTAGATTCGGAGAAAGATGAAAGGGCGAAGACGATCCGAAAGAAAGGGGAATTCGTTTATGCCTTACGATTCGAGGAGAGGAAAGAGACGAGACTATCGGCGAGGATAAAGAGAAAAGGAAAAAAAGGAAAAGAAAAAGAAAGAAAGGGAGAAAGCGAAAAAAATCGTTTGATCGATCCGAAAGTCTAGTATCGTGGCGTGAAAATGAGACGCGAGCAGTCGAAGGGCGCGTGCATAATAATAATATATCTATATATATATATATAAATATAAAATGAAGAAATATATATATATATAAAAATAAGAAAAATGAAAGAAGTAAAAAAGAAAAAAAAAAAAAGACGTAAAATTAGTACCTAAGTTTCTAGTGAATTTTCGAACATATAGTGGTAAAAAAAAAAAAAAAAAAAAAAAAGAAAAACTACCGGTAGCAGAGTTACGTAGTCACTAGTTTGTTCGACGGCTGTTCAAATAACAAGGAGATCAGAATGGAAGAAGGAGTCATTATTATTATTCGAGTTATTAATTATTCTCATAGTTTATTATCGCGGTCATTGTTCTTATTATTGTTACCATTAAATGTTTATATTTAGGGAAACAAAGTTAAGGATCGAGGGCCACGAGAAACTAGGAGTCAAGAGACCAAAGAGTTTTTTCGATCGCAAAAAAAAGACGGAGAAGGATAGCTGAGAGAGAAATAAAAAAAAAAAAAAAGAAAAAGAAAAGATTAATCCAGGAAACGAGCAACAAGAGAGAAACAAAAAAAAGTAACCGGCGGCCCTTGCTCTCCCTTCCGTCCAAATTCGAATTTTTCCAATTTTACCTCTCGGCAATATAGCTCGATCGCGATCGATCCGCGAGCGAAACGCGTAACACCTGATCGATTCTTAGGGACAATTTAGTTAGGACACATTACCAAAGAGAAGAATAAGAAGAAGAAGAAGAAGAAGAAGAAGAAAAAATAGATAAAACGGTTATAAAAAAAAAAAGTTAAAAAAAAAAAAAAAACGTGTCGTTAAGAATAGCTCGACGAATCGAGCAGCACTGACTCTCGCGCGTTTAAAGATGCATAAATAGAATAAATAATAGATAAAATAAAATAAAAAAAAAAAAAGGGAAAAAAAGAAAAAAAATAAAAAAGAAAAGAAATGCCTTTCTTTCACGTTTATACAGTGCGTTTCTATCGAGTGTAATTAAAGTAAATAGTAGGTTAATCGTTAGATGAAAGGAAGAGAAAACCGATAATAAAATATGTTCGTTTAGAAACGGGAAATAGAGATTTTAGAGGAGTGTCGCGATTCGAGATCGAGATGTTCTTAGCAGGGGATAAGTTTTCAGGTGTTACCGCCGGAAACGTTCGAGCAAAGTAGCCATTGTCTCATCCTTTCTCGAACCGGTTCACCAATCGTTTTCATCTTGTGCTTCTCTACGTTCTCGTCTCCGTCTCGTTGTCGTGTGAACAAAAAAAAAAAAAACACACGAAACGCGTTGCGTACCGAGAACGACGAGTGAACAACAATGGTGGACGGGATGGACGGAGCATCGACTGCCGGCAAGTAACGCGAGCCTTATACATATACGAGAATATTAAAAAAAAAAAAAAAAAAAAAAAAAACGAGGAATTCAAATGCTCACACATACGGATACACATATTGCGTAACACTTAGAGACTTATAATAATCGGAAAGAGAGAGGAAGAAAAAAGAAAAAAAAAAAAAAAAAAAAAAAAAAGAAGCATTTCGTTCGAGAACGTTTCTTGTTCCTTCGATCGAAAGATCGGATACGTTTAAATGAAGAGACTGAGAAAAAAAAAAAAAAAAAAAAATCTGTTTAAATTAAAGATATTATACATTGTAACGTAGATTCTTGCGTAACGTGATTCTGAGTTGGTATATGTATAGGGTATGAAAAGCCAAAAAAAAAGAAAAAAAAAAAAAGGATAAGTCGCGATGGAAAAGGAAATCCTATGGACGAGATAAACGTGCCGTTTAATGCGTGAAATTGTTTTTTTTTTCTTTTTTTTTTCCTTTTTTTTTTCTTTTTTTTTTTTCTTCTTTTTCGAGATGATCGTGAGAAGAGAGTGTGTGTTTTTTTTATATTCGTTGTATCGTAACCTCGTTCTAACAAAACCGATCTATTCTTGTATATTCTTCTTCTTAACTATCGAGCGTGTCTTCTCGTATCGATCTATCGATTGATTCTGACTCTGAAGCAACGGCTATCTTCTGATTTCTTTGCGAGCTCGAGATTCTCCTAACACGCGCTCCATCATACTTGACCATTCGGAAAAACTAGGGAAAACATTTATCGACGATATATATATATATATACATACGCCACGAGGAAAGATTATTGTTATTCATCGACTCTAAAAAAGAAAAAGAAAAAAGAGAAAAAAGAGAAAAAAAAAATTTCAATCGCTCCGACGAACAATATAATTGCAAGTAAAAAACGCGAAACGAGGGAATGAAACGAGGGAGTAGAAAAGAGATTGGAAAAGAGGTTTCCTCGTCTCGTCGAGTTAAGCGTGCGTTACATTTAGGACCGCGTCCCTATTTTAAAAAATGGAAAATGCAACCTCAACGTCAGTCGAAAGTGAGAAGTCGGAAGGCCTTCTAGCCCAAACTTTTTTCCTGTGTACAAATGGACGCATGTCGAAGCTTTCTGTGTGCAGCACACTCTTGTTGTCGTTCTCGATGTATAAAAAACATGTTTAAAAGCATATTTTTCGAAGGGTCGACACGATTCTCAGCCGTTCTCGAGCACGTCCACGGATTTATCCTTCGCAACTTCGGAGGGAGTAGAAGAAAAGTAGAAAATGTAGAATTCGACTATCGAAAAAGATAGCACGAGAGCACCAGCGCTTTAAAAGTTTCTTCACAAACTTCGGTAATGCGTCGATACTTTTTTTTCGAACTTCGAACCTTGGAGTAATTGGAAGAGGAGAATATACTTTACGATATTAAAAATTTCGAAACTTTTAACGATCTACTATTTTATCCGGCCAGCCATATTACTCGGGCGCACTGTATAATTATTTACGAACGAACAATGACGCAAATCGCCAAGGATATACCTCGCCTCGTTATAGAAAACCGCCGCTCGATATCCAAAACGATTTCTCGATCGCTAAATTCTCCAAAACGAGCAGGAAAGAAAGTAAGTTTCAGCAGTCTACCGAAGAGAAATTCAACCGACAGCCTTTTCCCCCTCCCCCTCCCCCCCTTCCAACTTTTCGAAAAACCTCTTCCGTGTTCGACTCTCCTTTCTTCCGTGACTCGAACTGCCGTAAAATATCTCTTGGCAGCTGTTTGTCCGCGAAAAACAAACCGAGAACTTTTCTAACCTTTTCCACCGCTCGACTTTATATAGCCCTTCGACCAGCTGGATTGCCAGTGAACTTTCACCAACGAACTATAAAAAAACTCTCGCGTAGATTCGATTTTATACGTTATTTCTTTTTTTTTCTTTTCTTTTCTTTTCTTTTTGATTCGCGAACTGATATCGATCGCGATCATTTCGAAAATTACAATATCGTTTGAAAAAAAATTATATTAGACGCAATTAATATTTGGACATATTTACGATAACAGCGATCGAGAAAAACGTTGAACTCGTCTGTATAAATTTCTATCGAACGAGGCGATTAAAAAAGAAAAGGAAGAACGAGAAAGCGAAGTGGACGTGCTTCGCATCTGAATCTACTTGACATAGTCTCTCTCTCTCTATATATATATATATCTCTATCTCTCTTCCTCTATCTTTCTCTCTCTCTTTCTCTGTGTCTCTCTCTCTCTCTCTTTCTCTTTCGTGTCTCTTTCGTGCATGCAAACTGTCTCTCTCTCTCTCTCTCTCTCTCTTGTCTGTCGATGTCGATGTCGTTGGTTGGATCTTCTCTTATCGCGCGTGAGATCTTCGAAGATCAGTCGACTTATGAAGAAAAAGAAAAAAAAATGGGGAAGGAGAAAAAAAAAAAAAAAAAAAAAAAGTAACAGAGATCAAAACTAGAGAACGCCGTTATTTTGCTACTCGAAAGTAACAAAGAAGAAAGTCCAATGAGAAGTAGAGAGTGTAATAACATATCGCGATGATTTTCGAAGATCCGCGGAGAGACTCGCATTCTTTCTCTCCATAAACGATCTCTTTAGATTAATTCGTAAAAACGCTTTAAAATGTACCTAGAACCTACGAGATTCTATTCTACACTCTTCCTCGTCCTTATTCCTTTTAAAAAAAATGCGCCTTTTTCCTCTCCCGTCCAAGCATATTTTCCCCTTTACCGACCGAATCCTCATACACCGCCATACACTTCCACCTTCCCCTTCCCCTTCCCCTTCCTCTTCTCCTTCCCCTTCCCTCACTCCAGCCCCGAAAAAAAAGTAATTGTCTCGCAGATTCAGATTCTTCTGTGCGATTCTAATCTTGATATAACACTTGAAGTCAATTACTTAATCCAAAGGTGTATACATTATAACTATTATATATTTGATTCTAATAGAGAGAGATATACGCTCGTATGTTTTTTCTTGCGAATTTTTCGATAATATAAATATAATAAATAACGAAACACAAATAAGTTGAATTGAATAATATTCTAATAGTTACTATACGGAGTGTGTAAGCATTGTTCGCGTCACGCGGTGTTAAAGAAGTGGCATGAGTTTCGGTGCAACACGAAGCGAAATCATATATCGTCGCGAGAATTCGCGATCGATATCGAGAAGGGAAGCGATCAATTGGGCAACAAAGTGAAATTCCCCGACAATTTCAAAAACTTGACAGATTGAAACTTGCAACGCAGGAACGGGTATAGTTAAAAATAATAAACTGTTTTCCTATTCCTTGCGCTCTCTTTAACTATTTCTCTGTCTGTCCTCTCTGTTTCGATCTCTCTCTCTCTCTCTCTCTCTCTCTCTTTCTTTCTCTCTTCCTCTTCTCTCACTCGTCCTTTTCTCCTAAAAGTGAACAAATTTTTTTTCTCTTTGTCGTCTTGTATATGCCTTCTCGCTCGATGTGTCTACTACGCTGTATGCTCTTTAAAGTCACGACTATTTAATGCATGTGTCACGCGTAAAAGCGAACGAATAAAACGAATAAAAAATAATTAAAAAAGAAAAAAAAAAAGAAGTCTTATACGCTATTGTTATCGCTGATTAATGTCGTGTGTCGTTGTTGTTTCTCGATGTAATCAATTATATACTTCGATATACTTCGATCCTCTAGTCGATGTTAAATACCTAATCTAGCTTTGACATTTTCCCCCTTTTCTTTTTTTTTCCTCGCATTATATCGTACGTGTAAATTCAATTAAAAGCTCTGTGTGTGCCTTTTGTTTCGTGTCTAATTTGATTTGATAAACGTAAAAAAAAAAGCGATGTGATCAACGTATCATGTAATGATTTATCTCTGCGTAAGTTCCTATCCTGTAGTAGAAATATTTTTAAACGTATATAAACGCATCCATTGTTATAATTTGTCGAGATACGAGCAGGCCGTTTGCCGACGATTTTTCACTACCGCTAGATTAAACAAATCAAATTTCATCCACCAATTGTCACGTGTACGCGTGCGAAATTCAACATTTAACAGTGTCGTTGCAAAAGTAGAAGAGAAAAATATGACGATTTTCGGGTTAAAAGGCGAAGTTTCGATCTTCCTTGTGTAATTTTTAATGAAACGAGAACGAAAAAGAACGCGGTCCGAAAAATCAAAACGAAGCAAAAATCGTAGAAACGAATTTTGAGAGGAATCAAAATTCCAAAGAAAAAAGAAAAAAAACCAGTCGCGTGGAATATTCCGCAAACTTTCTCCTCTTCGATTATCTTTCATCTTTTAGGTTCTACGAACTGTCTATTTTCCATCTCCTTAATTTTTTTTTTTTTTTTTTAACGAGCGTTTCGAATCCTCCACTTTGCACACACACATACACACACATATATTTCGATCAAATCAAACTATTCCGGGCCACTTATCGCTCTATCCTTCACATCCTTTACCTATGAAGCCACCCTAAGCCTATACGCGGCACGTGGCAAGTGATACTTTAATAAATCTACTTGATTCGTGTTTTAGACGATCGTGATTATTATTATGATTAAAGAAAAAAAAACAAACAAAATGAATAAAAAAAAAAAAAAAAAGAAAATAATAGAGTCTCGTTTTCGACGTGTCACGTCGAGAGAATTCTATTATCAAAGAGGCGGAAGAGCCAACTAAGGTTCGTCACGATTTTAACCGATCTCGACGAATTGCACTTATAAATTAGAAAGTAGTACTCGCTAGAAAAGTACAACTGACTCGTCGAAACGAGACACGCGTGGAATTAATATTGTAAAAGATAGTTAACGGGCCCTCCTTAGGTTCCTTAGGTAACGAGTGTTTAACGAGAGAGAGAAAATAAAAAAAAAAAAAAGAAAGAGTAAGAAGAAAATTACGAAGAGAACGCGTTAGGTACGATAATGCGCCGAAACGTTAAGATTATAACGTTCTTTTCTTCATGTACATAGTCTCGCGTATTACCTAGACCTGCGTTTAGAATAACCGAAAGATTTTCGTTATTCGTGGTTTCGTTCTACGAAACGAATGAATGGAAGACGAGATGCAGATGCTGCGTTCCCTTTGGAAATTTGGGATACCTTTTTTTGTCCCCGATTTTTGCCTTCGATTTTCACTCGATCGATCGAATCTTCGATTCCTGGATAGAAACCTCTGACTGTGAAACTAGAGAGTGGTTTTTCAAAATTCCGGGAAGGAAAAGAAGGAGTTTCTTTTTTTTTTAAATATATATATATAAACACGTTCGTCTCTAATTTTGAGTTCGATTTTTTTTTTTATTCGAAATCTTCGATTGGACGAAAAAGACACGAGATGAGTTTTTTTTCAGAAATATCACGAAAGGGGAAGAGAAACTTGTGTTCTCTGCAATTTTGAAAAACCCCTATGTCTTTGTGATTTCAGATCCGAATTATTATTATTCGAAAAAGGAAAACGGGTTAAAGAAAAGAAAAGGCAAGGGAACGAAGGTTTCTCAAAATTTCAGAAGGAAGAGTAATTAATTAATTAATTAATTAATTACCGGAGTAACTCGTGAGGAAGAACCGACTCGACTTATTCAGAGACAACGACACAACGCATTATAAAGTAATAATGATAAACTTTAATGTTAAATCAACGTACTATTGTTATGATCTCTTACACTATGAGGGTGATCTCGATGACGATCGTTGCGTAATGTAAAACGCGTTCGCACGTGTGTTTTTCAATGCGTTCACTAAATAAAAAGAAAAGAAAAGAAAAAAAAAAGAAAAAAAAAAAAAGAAAAAAGATATAAACAAAGCGATGGGAACTGACGTTGTAAACGGTAAACGTTGTAGACGATAAGCGAGAGAAATACCGTTGAGAAAATACCGGATGAAAATTCAAGAAAAGAGAAGAAGAGAAGAAGAGAAGAAAAACAGGAGAGGAAAAAAGAAAAAAGAAAAAAAGAAGTTCAATAAAAAGACAAAGGGGGAGGGGGAAGGGAAAGAAATCACGATGTTAAGTAAGTAGTCGTTAGCTTTGTATACATACAAGGGAGTGCCGAACAGAAAAAGGAAGACGACAACGTTAAAAGAAGAAAGAGAAAAGAAAGGGGAGAACTTATAGCATCATAATCGGCGAGTTTTCCAGGGGAAATGACAAACACGAGGAGAACGCAATTCTTTTTTTTTTTTTTTCAAAACAGCTGCCATTCGACGACGAGAGATACGTGGCTACCACCATCTTCGAGCGGACTTGTGCGATTTTTCGGATATAGGGGTTCCGAATGAACACGGTATACACGCTGTCGCTCGATTCCGCGAAAACTCGATCCCGTTAATCGGCAAACACGAAAGCCACCATATATATATCCACCATATCCGAGGCGGAAAACGCGCCTCCTTCCCGAATTGGGGAAAAATCCAATTTACTTCGGGGGCGCGAAAAAATTCCAAATTCCGAATTCTTCTCCCGAGGGGGAAAAAAAAGAAAATCTCAAACTCGCCGCCCCCCTCGCCCCGTAACAGGAAAGGGGGGAGGGGGGAGGGGGGTCTGAATAATTAATTTAACCGAACCGAAACCTTCTTCCCCAGGAAATTGGATTTTCCTCGTCCGTTCCTTTCCTTTCACAGAATTTCTTTCTGGAAAATGGAATTAAAAATGTGAATCGACACATTCGTTTCCGGGAAACCGTGAATTATATTACACACGCATGGAGGAATCGCGCATCGCCCATCGTCCATGCGTCGTCGATACTCTGCCGATTTCCGTTCCGTTTCCGTCGAATCGTGTGAAAATCGTGTTTCACCGTGTTACGACGTAATAATAATAATAATAATAATAATAATAATAGTAATAATAATAATAATAATAATAATTATAATTATAATTATAATAATAATAATAATAATAATGCAGATCACACCTGTGTACCGTGCCCCGGTATCTTCGGTAAATTCGTTGAACCGAGAAGCAATACTACGGATGCCTATAATTATTAAATGTTATGCGTTTTGTCTTATACAACAAAGAAAAAAAAACCGTGGGAGGGAGGGAGGGAGGGAGGGAGGGAGGGAGAGAGGGAGGGAGGGAAAGAAAGAAAAATTAGGAACTCGCGTACACACGCACATCGGACACACTTCTCAGTACATCTCCAAGGGTGATCAGACATACATATATACATACATACACAAATACTCACACGCGCGCGATGCGAGTCGTGAACGAAGCGTCGATGTTTTTTCCTGGTCGATGTTTCTTCTTCGATCGAGGATCGCGCGAAAGTAATAAATGTAATGATAAAGGAGAAGTAAAAGAAAAAGATAAAAGATGAAAAAAAAATAGATAAAAAGACGATACCACCGCGTAACTTCGAAACAAAACTCAAAGTTACGTGATTGCAACCCGTTCGTACGTTCACATCGATCTCTGTGTAATTTTATATTTCGAAGATGCGAAGCATTTTTAGCTGCATGCAACGACCAATAAATTTTATTGTAATCGTTAATCGTGTATAAAGATTTGCACGGAAGTGATAGGAGAAACGATGTAAAAAAAGAAAAAAAAAAGAAGACAAAAAAACGAAAAAAAAAAAAAAAAAAAAAAAGAAAACGTCGAAGAGAAGTAAAAATAAATTAGGGGGAGAGAAGATTGGCGAAGATGAGAGAAGGGCATAAGGGGTTTTTCGAATGCCTAAAAATCGCACGAACCTTGCTCGGCAGATACAAAGGGGAAAAAATTCTTAATTAAAAAGGGGTGGTAATGAGTTGTACGTCAACAGAGAGGGGAATAGTAAAAGATCTCTTGTAATAGTGTGAGTAGTGAGTGAATCGTTGGAATGGAGAATTGATCGTTTGAGTATATTATTACGTAACTTTCGAAGAGGAAAACAAGTAACGCCGAATGGATCGATGATCGATGATGATGATGATGATGATGATGATGATGATGATGATGATAATATTATATATTGTTGTTAGATTATGTATAATATATATATATACACATAAACACTGATATAAAAATAAAGTAACCTAGATAATAAGCGACCACTTATTCACACCACCCACACATGGACACGGACACACGTGAAATACGTGCATGCGCGTGAAAAAGTTAACCCTTTATTTAGCGAATCGAACTAAAGAAAACTTATTTTTTCGAATAAATTTTTTTTTTTATTTCAAAATTTCGAGCAAAAAGTAATCGATATCTTAAAATTGGTAATCGAGATTATTTTCGATTTTCGATCGATATGTGTATACAAAAAATTCGAAAGAAACGGCCAAATTAAAATAGTCGTGCCAAATAAAAGGTTAATGGAGGAGCGAATACACCAAGATCACGAAACCACCATTCTCACACGAGAAACACGAAACACGAAACAAAAGACAGATAAGATTTCGTAGTTGTAACCCGTGAACATCCCCCGTCAAACCCATCCCCCTGAGCACGATCTCGGCTCTTGGTTACGCGTAAAAAATGCATAGAGTCCTACTTTCTCTACTTCGACTCTCCTCTTGACCCTTGAAACGATGGAAAAAAGAAAAAAAAAAAAAAGAAGAAAGAGAGCCAGGGAAGGAAACAGGAAACGCGTGTCGGAGTTTCTTCCTCCAGATCGCGTTTCCTGTCCATCTTTCCTTCAACTAAATAAATAAAAAAAAAGAAAAAAAACACAGAACACGGAAAAAATTTCAAGCATCAAGGAGGAGGCGACAAAGTTACCGAAATCTCCGAAAAAAGCTTGAACGAATACGATAACGAAGCGGGGATAAAATCAAAACAGAAAGAAAAGAAAAGAAAAGAAAAAAAAAGAGAAGGATAATCGAGCTTTCCTCTTCCTACGTTGTACGAGAAATTCACGGCGTTTCTTTTAGCTTTCACGGCGGGAGAGATGAACAACACAAAATGCGAGAGAAAAAAAATAAAAAAGAGAAAAATGAGGTTTAACAAAAAAAGAGAGAAATAAAAATGAAAAAACGAAAAAAAAAATGATAAAGCATGAAAATGATTTTTAGGGGCGCGCCTCATCGTTATAGCTCTTAATACAATAGTAATATTACGAGTAATAAACAAAAAGTGAATTAACCAGAAATATGCGTTTATGTTATTTAGTTCTAAAAAAAATGAAAAAAAAAAATGTAATAAAAGTCAATCGTGTTACCAACTCGTTCGTCTATTTATTTATCAATCATCCTCTCTCTCGATCGAAATCATCCACCATTTCGTCGCACGCTTTTTCAAACATCCTTAACTTTATATTTAATCGGACAAACGATATCGAATTCTCGTTCGTCGTATCGAAATTTCGACAACCGATCGAATGGATTCCGCTGTGCGTGCAATTCGCGCTACTCCCAATTCTCTTCTTTTTTTTTCTTTTTTCTTTTTTNTTTTTTTTTTTTTTTTTTTTTTTACGCAATTCTCGTAAGCGATTTCAAAATTGCTTGTGAACGTGTGCTACCTCCACTCCTCGTGCCACTTGTCAATAACGACACCGCTTATTATTTTTTCCAACGATCGTGTTGCTCAGTGCGAATAAAAACGTTGCCGCGACACGTTCCGCGAGCGCGCAACACTTTCCACACTTTTTGAAATGGAAATTTAAATCGAGTCGATCCGATTAACATCCGATCGCGACGAAATGAAGCAAACTTTTCTCATCTCGCTCCTTCTCCTCGTAATTCGCAATTGCTCGTCCGAGAAAATAACGTTGAGGATCGATTTGAACGAGCCGATTGCCGTCACCGATCCCAAGTTTCTCAGCCTTACCATCGACCCGGTAACCCTGTTGGCGGGAAATGCGGTCAGGTACGTACAACGAGTATTTATAATAACGAGTTCTTATCTATCTTTTTGCCCATTTCAATAATCGAACGATCGAAATTTAAAAGTTTATACATTATCAAAGTATACGAATTTTTCCCCGCTCGATATTTCGCGCGCAGTCGAACGAAAGAATCGTTGGAAGGAAGGAAGAAGAAAGGAACGCGAAGCAATTCGAGATCGATTCAAAAGCGACGAATAGAATGCGGAAAAAAAAAAACGATCTGAGAACGATTCCGGGTATAACGTTTGAAAACAAAATTCAATCTACGCTTCGACGAAATAAAACGTGTACGTGTTTTAATTTAAATTTCGATCCCTCCTCTACGCCGCCTACCTATGTATATATCGATTCTCGCCGAGAGAAATCTATAGAGATTAAGATTATTCTCTTCTCTACTGGACAGTAATCTACGAATCTTTTAACATTCGAAACGTGATCGTTGCCATTTCAGCACTCATTTCGAGAGAAGCGTAAACCTGATGAAAGCTTTGAGTCCAGCGTAT